AGGCGCGCACGCGCGCGAGCAGCGGGGCACGCGCGCGCCGCAGATCCTCGGAGGCGCGCGCGGCCACGCTGCGAGAACGGGGGGAGGGGGCGGGTGAAGCGTGCAATACCTATGGGGCCTTCACGGGAGGTCCTGGGGGTCTCCAGTAGTTCCTGGGTGTTTGCCCTGGCTGCTCTCGGGCGCTTTCGTCAACAGAGGGGTGGGGCCCTTGAGAACTGGAAAGGCGAGGGGGGGGGGAGATGGGGGGGGAATGGAGGAGGAGAACGAGGGGGAGGAGGAGGAGGAGGAGGAGGAGGAGGAGGAGGAGGAGGAGAAGGAGGAGGAGGAGGAGGAGGAGGAGGAGGAGGGGGAGGAGGGGGAGGAGGGGGGAATTCAAAACCCAGGGCCTACCTCCTTGTGCCTACTTACGACAGGTGGCCCATCGAGGCCCGAGTTGAAGAAAAGGCTCCACTGAACCCAGGATATACGATCCATATTATGTAAGTCCGCGTTCCTGTTTCTCTGTTATGCAGCCTAGCCATGCTTAATGGTATCCCCAAGGTTCCCTGGAAAGCCCCAAGCCCGAGAGGCTTCTTTAAAGTGTTGCACACGTTTCCCGGGACGTTTCTTCCGAAACCGTCTTGGCTCAAGCTTTTTACATCGACAACTGGTCGCTGGACTCCTGGTGTGCGCCTGCGAGGCGCAAGGCTGTGAGCTGGCCCGCCACAGCCAAACAGCCAGTCCCCTTCACTCACCATCGCGCGAGCAGCCTCGCGCCCCCCACTGCCCGCACTCCCACAACGCTGATATCGATAGCTACCAGCACATCGTCAGGAAAGCAGAGGCAGTATCCAAGGATTCAACAAGAGGGCAAGGGTTCGAGGCGGCACCATTGCATGGCAGCGGAGCTTCCGAGCTCCACGGAAGCACAACATGACTAAGAACGTCGATGACGTTATTTTCAAGTGGAACGGGGACCTCACCACGGTGGACGACTATGAGAGAGACGTGCCTATATTCGTGGGAAGCGCCGTGACGAGCGCTATGTATGCGGACCGAGGCTCTGGCGAAAGACAGGAGACAGCGCTCGCCAAGCAGCCGACGATATCGACTGGAGCAAGCTCGAGGCTGACAACGGCGCAGACATCCTGCTGAGAAACATTAGGTCGAAGCTCGGAGCCCCACCGATTCAGGGCGCCTGGAAGGACCTGGCAAGATGGATCTTCGACCTGCGCAGGGACAACGGCGAGCGAATGCCGAGCTACATCAGCAGGGGCGACGAGGCGCACCACGACGTGGTCAAGGGTTTCGACACCGAGTATTTCAAGCGCCAGAGGATGGAGCGGCTGTCAGCCCGGGCGAAGCAATGGAACTCTCTCTATCAAGAGCTGAACTGGCATCTCAACAAGATAGTGTACGAGGGGCCCTGGCGACGCCGCAGATGAGGCCAAGGGACTCGACAACTGGTAAGACAGGCCTCGAGAAGATACCCGAACATCCGGACTTTGGCGCGAGCTCCAGCAGGCGATTCCCTTGGATCAACTACGCGGCTGGCTGCTTCCACAGCGCTCGCGGCTGGCGCTGACCGAGCATGCGGCGGCCGTTGGGGCCCGTCAAGGGGAACTTCGACTATGAGTGCATCGGCGAGCAGCTCTGCGCATCGTGGCGAGACGACGAGCTGGCGAGGCGCGACAGGAAAGGAGCTCCAAGGCCGTCATCGAGACCGCGGACGCGCTCACGCTGGATGGAAGCAAGACGATGGTGAACCAGACGCTGAAGAGCACATCTACTACGAACAGTCCGAGACGTCGGTCGGCACCGTGAACGAGGGCGACGGCAACCTGGAAGAGCCGCTCTACAGCGCTGAGGAGATCGAGCATGCAGAGCAGGCCTTCGCCGCTCAGCAGCGCACACGAGATCCCCTACATATGAGCCCAAAATCACGGGAAGCCAAAGATGATTCCCCAGAGGATCCCACAACGAGTTCACCTAAGACCGCTGCTTTGGGTACGTCTTGGAGGCCTACATCACCATCGGTAACGGGGTCATCCAGATCATCAACGGGTTTCGGAAGATCACAAACGGCGACTCTTGGAACTTCGGAAACGAAGCCTTAAGTAGTCAGAAACGGCATCTCCGAGACAGATTTCGGCTACTCCTGGGAATGCGATTACGGAAACCACTAGAAGTTCGTTTACATTGACATCTACTGCGGATCCCCAAAGAGGCCGAGACACCTCCTCACGAGCTCCCAGATCCCAAGATTTCCTGGACCCCCTAAAGACTCAGATGCTCCTCCGTCCATAGCAATTCTGGCAAGAGCCGAATCTTCGAGCCCAGAGCTCAGCGATTCTCATCAACTTCCATATCAGGATGAGCCTCAATCGCGAGGCGACATGCCGCAAAGCAGAGACACCGGAGGTCAGGGCCAAGGACGACGAGGAGATGAACGAATGGGAGGCTCTACCTATCGACCCATCCAGTGTTCCAATGGACAGCAGATCGCAACGGACGCTCTCGGCTATCCACGGCCGCCCGCGACTGCCTGCTGGGCGGCCCCTGGGGAAGTTCGTTCGCCACGCTGCAGTGGACGGGGAGAACTACCTGATGTTCGAGATCGAGGAGGGCGCGACGAGAGACTCGGAGCTGTTCCTGGACGAGCCCTTGCCGCAGTGGGAGATGCGGGCGATGAAGCTACATCAAGCCTGGACCTGCGCGAAGAGATGGGGCAAGGTAGTGTGCAAGGTCGTTCAGAAGACCATCGAGAAAAAGGACTGGAAGCTGGACGGAATGGGACTTCCTGCGGCTCTCTCCCCGACGAAGTTCCCGACCTGGGAGCCGGGCGAGAAGCCCTGCGTCAAGCGGGAAAAGACTCCAGCTCCCAAGGAGACCAAGCACATGACAACAGCCGTACCCCAGCAGAACAAGGAGCTTCACGAAAGCATCGAGGTCGCAAGGTCCGATTCCTTGACGAAGTACCAGGACGCGAATGCCTTCGCGGGCACCGACGCGGAAGATCTACAGGCTGATCAGCATGATGACGATCGCGAACCACCTCAAGCCGCTTTGCAAGCTCTACACGCCGACCCAAGAACGGCAAGAAGGAGAAGATCTGCGACCGGCTGGCAGCCTATATCCTTCAGCAGCTGGGCGACGCCAAGCCGACGGTCAAGTTTAAGCAGGAGCAGGAGACGGCGATCAAAAGGCAGGGGACCAAGCCCTCAATCCTAGGCAGCACGGTCAAGAGCAACTTCGCACAGGGCCGCGTGGCTCCGGAGTGTCGCGCCCAGCGCGGGATCGCCAGGAACGAGCCGATCACGAAGGTCAACCCCGACGGCTGGCGCCACGAGATGCGCGCGGAGAAGATCGCGCAGAACGAGCGCACGAAGTACATGAGGAGCGGGCCCGTCGAAGCCGAGATGATAGCCGACCCCTCATCAGGTCTGCGACGCGCAATTTCCAGACCGCCCTGTTCGGAGCCACGCGCGCCCCACCTTCGGCCGCCTCCTGACCACGGTCGAAGCCCGCGCGCCTGAGGGCTCCAACCACGGCCAGATCTGCGAGCAGAGGGGTTCGAAGTTCGCGCGACTTGGACTACTTGACGACTTCGACCTCAGCCAGCCTCATGGCTATCACAAGGCCAAGTATATGCTCGACGAGAATAGACCATAATTACTTGTCAGCATTCCACACTGCGGACCGCGGTCGGCCACCCGGAGCGCCAACCAGCGCACCGACCAGCAGAAGGAGAAACTTCGGAAGAAGCGACTGAAGACAGTGGATCCTCGAGAACAGTACGCGTCTCATCGAGCACCAGGTCAGCAACCTCAAGGGCTCGGTCATCGCCGAGCAGCCGCATAACAGCCGCTCTTGGCAGGGGACCTGCTGGAAGGATCCACGCAAGCTGCTGCCCTGCGAAGTCATCGCGGACGGCTGCGCCCGTTGCCAGCCCCACCTCGCAGTTGGCTCGTTATGAACAGTTGCCAACTCCGGCAACAAAACGAGGTTATATCAAAGCTTGTTGATTAACATTATTCTGGTGCTCGCTGCACTTCACCGCTTGACGCGGGGCCCATTGGTCTCCGCGTAGTCCATCATGTGACTCAGTATCCGGCACGAGACCAATCTCCTCACTCGGCAGCGCCACGTTACGCGCAGGAGGATCGCCAACTGCACCGGCCACAACGACTGCAGCACAATCTTCACAGAGGTGAGCATGTTCGCAGGGGATCAGCTTCGCATTCACCTCCTGCCCCAGGCAAATGATACATATGCGCCCCATGGGTTGATTGACCCCAAATATGCCACCAGGCGTTAGCGCAGGATCATGCGGCGCCGATCCAGACACTCGTATTCCAAGAGGATCTCGCACGAAAGGATGACTGGCCAGCGCAGCATTCGAAAAGCTCGTTTCATCAAGACCGCGAGCACGTAGATGATGTCCCCTTTGATGCCTCTCGTATATCAACCTCTGCTGCGGGGGCAATGTCTCTGGATGCGCCGCCATGCTCGCATCGACACCTCCAATCGCATCGTCATCTCGAACGTTTTCCTCTGCTGCTGCTGCTGCTGGGCCAACACCCTCGAGCACCACCCATGATGCGCGTCATTCCGCAGCGCGTCCGGCGCCGAAGAAGTTCGGCGCTGAAGGTAGTCCGACAAGAGGTCCTTGAGCGAACAGCGTCTGCATGTTGGGCGTCGCATAAGTAGGTGCATGCGCCGTCTGTGCATGAAGAGTCGCGTTCGCATCCTGGCCCTTGCCCTTGCCGCCGCCACCCTTGCCTTTTTCCGTTCGGGCACCGCCCCCAGAGATGTTGGGTCGATCCACGCGTTGAACACATCAGCGGCTGCCCGTCTGATCCCATTGGATTACCCTACCGACCTTTTCCAAAAGACTTGCCCACAAACTCTGAAGACGGCTCATTATCGTAGAAGTGCCGGCGGCGAAGTGGCCCTCTGTGTCGCCTCGGTACTTTTCCCACAACTCGCCGCCACTTCTTCCTGTAGCGCTTGTACTTCTGCTAATAGAACTCCGCCTGCTCATTGTTCGACCACCCTGTCATATCTGGCTCATCTTCTTTACGTTGAAAGCGAACAGCATTGGCTTCGCCATCGTCGTCGGTCGCGTCGGCGTCGACGCCGCCGTGCAAGTAGGACTCGTCAGTAGCCGCTGCCGCCCCTGATCCGAAAACTCCCGTCTGCCATATTCCACTGGTACCGCTCGGTAATCCAATCGGCTGCCCGAACCCATCGGTCATGAAGGTGTGCTCGGTCGCATGAAATGCTGATGGGCTCTGAGCTGGGTTCATGATGTTATGGCTGCCATGCTCCGCGAGGTGGCCGAACCTCATGATATATGCGATGATCTGACGGTACTGCATCTCGTTCACTGGTATTTGTCCTTGAAATGGCGCAAGCACTTGCACCCAGAACTCTGCAGGGAGACGAAGAGACATTAACAGCATCCACGCCGCATGGCCATGTTGGATGATGATACTAGAACGCGTTCTGGCCCGCTGAAGTACAAATTCCCATCGTGTCAGCATAGTGTCAATACTTTCTCCGGGAAGCCCGCGAACCCATACAAGTCGGCCATGCCTCTCAGATTCGTATCCTCTTCCGGGGGTAAGAACTGTCGAGCCAGCGCTTGTATAATAAAAGCAGCACCGCTTAACCGTTGTAGTCCCACACCGTCGCCAAGATAAATTTCTGCACCGTTAATCTTCGCCTGAAGGGGAAGTTCTCGTATCATGTCTCTGGCGATACCTCCACGCGAAAGTTCGATCTGTGGCCCCTTCCTGATCTCATCAGTGTTCGTCACATTACACCAGGCCACTACGTCCGCCAACCAATCCCTGAACGGGTACTGTTGCTCCATCTCCGGAGACCACGGCGGTGGGTTTGTCATTGAACCTGTCATGTTTGTCCAGTCCCGTGGCTCCGGCGCTTGATTGCCACAAGGCCATGCTGGCCGGCCGCGACTGGCTCCCATTTCACGCCCATCTCCGAAAGGTTGAAACTGCCCAACAGGTTGGCGAAACATTGTAACGACAGTGAGGATCCAGAAAATCATTGAGCCGTGCTTCTCGTAATTGGGCTCGTCCGTTTGCCGTGGAGCTGACACAGCGTGCCAGCTCCACGACCAGCTAGACTTGAGTATTCAGGTCCCCGATCCCCCCAATGAGGATCAAGAGTTCCTTTTATCTCCACGCGCGCTAGAACAGCTCGCGTGGTTGAATCCAGCACGGCAGCAAAACAGATATCGTGATATCAGGGAGAACTAAGAAAGATACACTCTCACTCCTGTACGCACGCAATACGGAAAGAAGGAGAACTGCGCAGCTTGAGCCCGAACGAGCTACTGATGCATTAAATACACCAGCTACCTTGCTTGCACTCTAGGACGGGTCGCGACTCGATCGGTGCTCTACCAAGTGAGGGGGGGTCGGGAAGAGGGGGTCGTGAGGAGGATGAGGAGGAGGAGGAGGAGGAGGAGGAGGAGGAGGAGGAGGAGGAGGGGGAGGCGGAGGAGGAGGAGGAGGCGAAGGGGAGTGGAGAGGAGAGGAGAGGAGAGGAGGAGAGGAGGAGAGGAGGAGAGGAGGAGAGGAGGAGAGGAGAAGAGGAGAAGAGGAGAAGAGGAGAGGAGAGGAGAGGAGAGGAGAGGAGAGGAGGGAGAGGAGGACGAACACGACGACGACGACGACGAAAACGACGAGAACGACGATAAGGGCGAAGAGGACGAAGAGGAGGAACAGGAAGAAGAAGAGGAAGATAAGTAGGAAGAGGACGGAAAAGACGAGGAGGCGGAGATGGAGCAGGATTCCCCCTGCTCCACATCCAGGCCCCTTCCACCACTCCTCCTCTCCTCTCTCCTACTAAACCATCCCCCCTGCTCTTCAACGCCTCCTCTGGGTTTCTTGAATGAGCTTGGGGGGGTACCCCCCGACGGGGGTCAACCTTGCCTCGTCGTCTCGCCGCGGCGGGGGTGGGAGCGCCTTCGGCGCGCGGTGGCTGCCCGCGATGGGGATCGATGTGGGGCTGTCGGCGGGTGTGACGCCCCCCGGACGCTCAGTAAACAACTCGGAGTACGGCCTACTCTATCCCCCACCACTCGTCTAATTATCCTTAGGTCGGGCATGTCCTCCTACAGGGGGACGTTGGACGAAAAAGCAATCCTCTTAAAATGTTTACACATAATCAAACAATAAAAAATCGTCCCCTGACTATTTTCTGACTAGTTTTGATTATCCCCCTTGTAAAGGAACAGGAACGATTTAACATTATCCTCGTCCTCCTAACCTCCTGCTCCTTGCTCCTGCGCCCACGGCGGCTGGGCGGGCGGAACGGGTCGCCCTTGACGGCGACGTAGAGCACACTGCCGCACCTCACCTCTCTGTACCTGGCGCGCACCAGGCAACGATAAGGGGGATAGGCATGGGGGGGGATGCATCAACCTGGAATCGGCGATACATCGCCGAAAGATCGGCGATAGGCCCCCGATAGGGAATCCGCACCTTCCTGATCGGGTTGGGGCTGTCGGGCCGCTATCGGCGATCAATGGGCGATTGGGGGTCGATGCAACCCCCCTGTGCCTGTCCCCCCCTATCGTGGCCCTGAATCGGGCAAATGGCCAATGGCACGACGAATGAGACCAGCGCACGGACCTCAACGGCACAGAATTGAGAAGCAAGCTGAGCACCCGAAGCACGCGGACCCCTGCAGGCCAGACACAGCCGGAGCGGCGGAGAACAGCCAGAACCAGCACATCGCAGGCACTTCTCTCCCCGCCCCCCGAACGATGCTTGCACGCAGGCTTCTCGCTCGAGCTCTCGGTCGGCCACCGTGCCTCGGGGCACAAAGTGGAGTGTCCTCAGGTCCCTTCGAGTTCTCTGTATTGGCTGTTATGTATGCTCGTCGAGGGGCCCGGGGGTGGGGAGGGGGTGACTACCTACCAGACCAACCCAACCCAACCCGAAGACCCGAATTTTGGGGGGTACAGGCTGCATATGTGTTTTTCCCATGTTCCCCGACCCCCCTTCACTGGAAATGGAGGGCAAATCGGGGCCTTCGGGATGGGTCGGGGTGGTTTGGTGGGCGGTGAGGGGGAGAGGGGGAGAGGACGCTCCTGAGCGCTGCCTGCAGCGGCGCGCGCAACATTTCTGCGGCCCTCTGGAGCGTGGTTGGCATCACACGCATCCACTGGAGGAGGGTGGGCCCTCGCCAACGTTCTGGAGCACACTTGGGCGCCTCTGGGCCGTGCCCCCAGCGGCCAAAATTAGCCTGGCGAAGGACCCAACCAGATGCAGTTGTGAATACCGCAATTGTGAATTCCATCTTCGCCCGCGCTCCCTATGTGGCCACGGCTTCCCGCCGGAGCCCGACGTGCTCAGGGACATGTTCGTGGCCGTCTTCGCGGGCGCCGACGACGACAAGGACGGCGTCCCTCTCACCGAGGAGCAGAAGCAGGAGAGGGCCTTGAGAGCCATGAGGGAGGAGGTGGCGTTGCACGTCGACAAGGCGGAGTACGACGCCCAGGCGCGGTTGTTGAACAACACAACTATGGGGCCACGATCTTCGTGAGGGAGGTGCCGCAGTGGCCCGGGGCTGCCGTGCGTACCCTGCCACTGGGGCCTTCGGTGGAGCTCCCTCTGGGGCCACGATCCTCGTGAGGGGTGTGCCGAAATGGACCGAGGCCGCCATGCGAACGCTGCCACTGGGGCCTTCGGTGGAGCTCCGTATGGGGCCACGATCCTCGTGAGGGGTGCGCCAAAATGGGGCGGGGCCACCATGCGAACGCTGCCACTGGGGCCTTCGGTGGAGCTCCCTTTGGGGCCACGATCCTCGTGAGGGGTGCCCCAAAATGGGGCGGGGCCACCATGCGAACGCTGCCACTGGGGCCTTCGGTGGAGCTCCGTATGGGGCCACGATCCTCGTAGGGGTGCGCCGAAATGAGCGGGGCCGCCATGCGAACGCTGCCACTAGGGCTTCGGTGGAGCTCCCTATGGGGCCACGATCCTCGTGAGGGGTGTGCCGAAATGGGGCGGGGCCGACATGCGAACGCTGCCACTGGGGCCTTCGGTGGAGCTCCCTATGGGGCCACGATCCTCGTGAGGGGTGCGCCCAAATGGGGCGGGGCCACCATGCGAACGCTGCCACTGGGGCCTTCGGTGGAGCTCCGTATGGGGCCACGATCCTCGTGAGGGGTGCGCCAAAATGGGGCGGGGCCGCCATGCGAACGCTGCCACTGGGGCCTTCGGTGGAGCTCCCTTTGGGGCCACGATCCTCGTGAGGGGTGTGCCGAAATGGAGCGGGGCCGCCATGCGAACGCAGCCACTGGAGCCTTCGGTGGAGCTCCCTATAGGGCCACGAAGCGTTGTACTAGGTGGGTGAAGCGCAGGGAGGAGAGGGGAGGAGGGGGAGGAGAGGAGGAGGAGGAGGAGAGGAGACGCGGGCCACCGTCTCTTCAAAACGAGGACCCAACACCACAGGATGGTTGGGAAATAGCACGCCAGAGAAAAACCCCAATCAATGGATAGTTTGATGAGATCGATGGTGAAATCAATTGAGTGAGATGAATGGTGAGATCGATCATGAGATCGATAATGAATCGTGGGATCGATAAGGAAATCGACCGGGAACCGGGGGACCCGGAACCCACCGAAATCGGCCCCGAACTAATGACCAGGAATCCGGGAACCCGGAACCCAGAAACCCAGACGGCCACCAAAATCGGCGGGAAACTTTCGCCAAATCTTTCAATTTCCGCTAGGACCCCTTCAGTGCAAGCACTGATTTGGGAACAACACATTCGAAAGTTATGCGTCTCCACGGGTTTGAGCAGGGCTGGACCTAAAAGTTGTATTTCGTGTTCTTTTCGTCTTGTTTTCGGTTTTGCTCTACCTGCTTGCCTGCACCTCACTGCCAAAACGAAACACAAAACACAGCCGAAATCCAGCAAAACAACGTTAAGGTCCAGCCCTGGGTTTGAGTCAACACACCCTGAGCATTTTCCTAGAGTGGAGGGCGCAGGGTGAAATCCATCTGGTTTTCGCACCTCGAAAATCAATCCATCTTGTGATTCACCTTTTGCAAATTCGAACCTCGAAAACCAATCGAAACGGCATTTCAGATTTCACCCTTTGCCTCCACCCAACGAAAACACTCGGACAACACATTAGAAAGCTATGCTTCCTCGCCCTTTCGGCCTTTAGAGCGCCCAGGACGGCCGACAGACGGCCCCCGAGGTCGCCCCCCAAGACGGCTGCAGAAGAGCCCCCAGGGGGGGGGGCACGAGGCCCCCCCACGGCGGCCCCAAGAGGGGCGTCCAAGTGGGGGGGGCAACGACAGGGAGGAACAGGCATAATCCAAATCTCTGATTGATCGACCCCCCCCTAAAAAACCGACCCCCTCTGAATGTGACCTAATATGCCGGACGCCCCTCTTCGACGGGGCGCCTTAACAAACCAGACCTCCTAAGCTCCAATCCACAGAAAACGCCCTAATCAACCGAACGCCCGCAGTTACAAAAAGGCGCCTTAAAAAACTGCACCCGGCGGACGATTAATAAAGGATTTGGAGTAGGTGGGGATGCATCGATCTGGAATCGGCGATACATCGCCGATAGATCGGTGATAGGCCCCCGATAGGGAAT